ACTGCACAAAGATATATTTTTACCCATGTACATGTAACACATTATTATTCCTGTGGTGGTTACGAATAACAATTTCTGTATGTACAGAAAACCGCCGAACACTTGGTCTTAAATTCCCCAGAGTAACTGTTCATGATCACAAATTTGGCTAAAGGATTTTTTTCATTATCCTCAAACATTTCCTTTCACCTCCAACCTCTAGGCAGAGCCGTGGCTTTCCCTTTAGACCGGGGAACATAAAGCCATGGGGCCATCGGGGCTGGCTGTGCCTGACCCCGAGGGCCCTTCTGTCAATCACTGCCTCCCCATCCCTTGCTCTCTTTCACACCAGGCAGCTGTACCCATCGCTGTCAACCAGGTAACAACCAGCAAACAATAGAGGCCTGAATGCCTGGTCTAGACACTCTTTTAGCCACTTATTTGCTGCTCTTGGCAGCTGTTGAAGCATAAATAAGCAGTTTGTAATCAGAAAGCTGACATCATTGCAGCTCAGCTGAGAGGGTGAATTGTTGCTGTGCACTGAGCTGCTTTCCTCCCTCCCCCCCCCCCCCCAGCCCCCTCCCTGCTTCATTTTGTGACAACGGATTCTGGGGTGGGGATGCAGATTTCTGCTGGGCTAAGCTGGCTTTTCTTTTTATTTCTAGACTACAATGATGTAGGTTGCAGAAAATGGCATGTGCGAGGCAACTACCATAACTGAAAAGAAAAAAAATCCGTCTTCTAATAAATGGTGGAGTCCTGTCTTACTCCTTCAGAAAGCACTTCAAGCCTCACAAATGTTTTGAATTTGAAGGGTAGTATTTCAATAGATTGACCACAAACTGAGAACATTGGCACAAAATGTTTGCCTGTCCTGACTGGTATTTTTACCCTCAGTTTTGTTTTTCACCCTGTGGAAGGAGAGAGGAGGTAAAAGCAGTCACACCAGAAGTGAGCGAACACTTGCTAACAAACTCTGTTTTGTGCCAGTGTGCCTCTGTTCCTGCTTTCGAAATGCCCAGCTACGCATCTCCCATCGCTGCAAACATTTGTTGTTCAAGTACATTTCATACACTTTTAACACTTCTCTTTTTTTCTACTTTGGGGCTCAATCATAAACAAGTTCACTGGGCAAATTTGACACAATATTTGAAACTCAAGCTGGGTTCCTTGGGAAGGATTGGTGGGGTGAGACACGTGGCAGCGCTGCTGCTCCCTGACTGGGGGAAGACGACAGCATACCCAGTGCAAATATTTGCACATGCAAATTTAGAATTCGTTTTCCACAAACACTTGCACGTATGACTTTCAAATTAGCTTTCTGAAAGCATTCATGCTGCTAAGAAACTCTAGTTCAAATATTCATATAAAGTGAACATAAAAGGGCCACAGGTTTAGGTGATTTCTTTTTTTAAGTTTTTTTTAAGAAAACAGACACCAAGTGAATATTCATGCCAGTTTTTGCAATGTTTGCCCAGTTCTGTTGTTTTCTGACCGTCCTCCTTTAATATTGAGAACTGATAGGTGCTCATGGGGTACCAAAAAGCAATGGCAAGTTATGCTGCTTCAAACGTATAGTTAAAATATAAACTTTATACTCTGCAGTGCATTTAGTGCTCCTTATTGATAGGAAAGTGAAGCAGAGTGTGTAACCTTTACAATCTGTAATCTATACCAAGTCCCAAAGGTTTTCCCTGAGTTTCATTCTGTCTGTCCTGGTGATGACTGTGGCAATAATGGGAAAGAGGCAAAGGGCTTTCTGAAGGGCTTTCTCCCCTCGCTGTTGTTTGTTTATCTCTCTGTGTGCACTTTATGTGTGCCAGCAGTAAGGGAGATGAGCTCTCTTACTCTTGTGGAGCAGAACTCACATTCCACCATTGATGTCTCAAAGTCTGATCTGACTGCCTGTTGGTACACAGAGTCAGGATGAATGCTAGTGTCTGTGGGGTTGCTAACTATCTGAAATATCTTCAGGTAGCTCTGTCTGTCTCTGGTTTCAACAAGAAAGAAGGCCAGTTCAACAAAAATATTGACTTTGTATCTCCCAAAGGCTTTCTAGTATTAGTTTGCTCTAAGTAGCTCATGATTTAGAGTACAAAGGCATTTCCAGAATGCATGTTTAACAAAATGACATAGCAGATAATTGAAATTTATTTGCAATTTTCAAACTACAATAAACACAATTCTCCTTTTCTTTCATTAATAATCGCACGGCTAATGCATAACAATCCCTCTGCAGCTTTTACAAGCAAACTTGAGCTGCTGTGTTGTAATAGCTGGAAAAGTTAATGTAGCTTGAACAAGGTTCCTAATTGTCCCTGTCTCTGTCATATTTGTCTACTTGAATGGTCCTAAATACCACAGCGATTAATTACTACAGAGCAGGTATTACAAGATGTTATCATCCTTCCCCAACTGTCTGGGTGAATGGAGAGAGGCAGTAGATTGTTGCAGTGTTTCATCTTTGCACTTCCTGTAAGGCACTTTAACCAGAAGATTTAATGTGTCAAAGTTAACTGCGTTCTCGCACAGATATTCACATTCTAATTAAAGATTAAGAACGTAGTACATTACACTGTGATTTGTCATACATGGCTTGTTAAATAGGAAACCTACCGGGATTCCCTAACATTTTATAAACATTATTCAGGGCTTTTAATGTGGGCAAAGGAAAAGATTATTCAGCTGCTCTGCAGAGTAGGAGGCAGGTCATTTTTCCCTCACTCCTCCATCCTGCCCAATCTTCCCCTTTTCCAAATAAATGAATAAGAAAACTCAGGTGGTTTTCAAACTGGAATTCTGTTGGGATCTCTTTAAACTATTTATCTTCCCAGCGTGCATGTGTGCACATGGATACATATATATGTATATATTTATGTATATATGTAGAGGGAGACAGAGAGAGAGAAAATATATATGTCTTCATTATTTTTTGCATTTTTCAACTTTTGCTGTCAGCTATGTAAACTGAGGTAGGAAGTCTTTGTTTGAATTACAGTGGCAAAGGAAGGAAGAAAGATGAAACAGTTTTTCAATATGCAGAATGTGCTTTCAGATTATTCTAGCAATGCTGAGCAGCGTACCACTTCCAGTATTAGTAGCAGAGGACTGGTTCACATTCTTTGATTGCCTGAGGAATAAATTAATGAGGTTACTAGAGACATTGAACATTTGCATATTCACGGATGCTTATTAGGTATAAAGTGAATGCCAGGTGCATTGAATTTTGGGAATACTAGCTAGGTATTTGGTCTTCTATTTTTAAAGCAATCACATCTTGCTTTTTCCCTAAAGTGGGAAGTTCTGTGAGTGGAAAAAAAAGCAGCATTTATAAAAATAATAACACTCAAAAAAAATCAAATTAATTCAATACAGATGAAGATTTGCTGTAAGATATGCATCAGAATAAATAAGATACAGCATGAGGCTAGGGACTATCTGAATATTTTGTTTGGTACAACAGTTAGGATGATTACAAATATAAAAACAGTTGTTCCAAGACATAAGGAGAACAAATGTTATATTTTTCACCGTACTCCTCATGGATTTCTGGCTTTAAATAGCAGAAGAAAAACTCATTATGAAGTTACCTTCCATGACGTCCAATGCTTAATTTTTAAAACATCAATATTTTCGCACATTTTGTTCCAGCAAGTCTCAAACTCAGGCTGCAAAGCACAGAAGATAGAATTACAAAATTTGCTCCACTGTTTCTCAAAGGAGTATCTGCACGTGGTTGCATTGTTGTCAGTGGCTTCCGTCATCGCACTGTGAAAGCACATTGTGTGAATGATTTGCACTGTATCTCATTATTCCTGCAAGTTTTAAACTATAGTGCTTATATGGGATCTTGCATTTTTGCACTCTGAAAGATTCTATGGTATTTGGGTTTTTTGGTTTTTTTCCACCCCATTCTTTAGCTGTCCATAATCTACATAGAGCGCGGCATTAGCACTGCTTGTCCCAGCAGAGAAATATCTGTCAATTGAAAACATGTACTGTTTGTGCTGCCTTTTGCTTCTCCTTTACAGTGTAAGCATCGAGCATGTACATGTGCACAGACTACAGGCTTACATGCCCTGCACACAGATAAATACAGACACACATTCCCACACAGATGTGCACTTACAAAATTATTGGTATCACCTACTTCCAAGTAGCTGTTGTAGCAAAATCAAGCAGTGGTAAGTGTTTTCTATGGATAATAATATGTATCTACAAACAGGCTCCCTTCTGCCCCCTTGTTTCACAGAATACTGTGCTCAACTTCCCTTTCCTGGATGTTGCACTGTGCTGATCACTGCCCTGCCTCTGCAAATCCTATTTGAAAATCTCATTTGCAGCATAACTGACAACAAAGGCATTACACGGTGTATGCCCTGCATTTTCTGCAGACTATTCCTTGCCTTTGTAAGTTATTTCTAACTTCTAATGAAAATACTGTGTGATCAGTTGATGATCTTTTTTATTTATTAATAGTCTGTAAAATTAAGTGTGTCTAATCAAAGAATGGGTCCTTTTTTAAAAGTGCAAGGTGGAATGCATTAGATCAGTGGTAGAAAAAGCAGATGTTCTTTACTGCAGTAGGCCTTTCTTTAGGTACTCTAGCAAATTAGGGACTGAAAAATTAAATTGAGGAGGATTTTGAGGTGCAATCACTCCCAGCCACTGCAAGACACAGAAATCCTCTTGAGATACACATTTTCTCTGCATTTGTTTCCAAACTGTAATTCTGTTCCACGATTAAAACAAAAAAAAAAAAATCAGAAAAATTATTTGATATTTCAGTCTCTCAGGGCAGCTTCTGAATAATTACATGCAAAGTGATCTGTTAGGTATTTATTGAAAATAGTATTGCAAAGCACAAATCTGCATTTTTTTTTTTTCAGGAAGGTCATTTTTTAAAACATCCTTTGTAGCTGCTTCACTGACGTCCAGGGGTTTTTGCAATCCACACGGCACAGATTTTTTTGATTATGTAGATTTTTTTTTTTTCCTCCTCTATTGCAGTTTCATATGCAAAGCATGCATCAGCCACATCCATGCTATCTCCTAAAGCAGTCATTCTGAAACCCAATCTGGGGACAGTGCAGACTAAATAAAATTTCATTTTGATTTGGCCTCCCGCTGAGAATGGGACTGCTTTGTTTCAGCCGACAGAACCAGCAAGCCAGAAAGGTATGTCCTGTTTTGCATGGCTGATGGTGTGACTTGAGGATCACAATCAGGCCGTTCATGCTCTCAGGGCTCGGCATCTCATCCACATCCTGTACCGTCTTTCTCTTTTCCTTGCCATTTGCTTTCCTTCTGTGCCGCCTGCCGTCTACCTGCAGGGCAAAGCTATGGCAGACCCTCACACTATTGTTTACTTTGGCATATGTTTAATAGCTGCATGGCTGTTTCAGGGTAGGGTTTGTCTATTCCCCCCCACCCCTTCCCTCCCGCCCCCTTCCCCCTTCGCCTTTGTTTTTTCCCTTCCCTATCCACATTCACTTTCCTTATTTTCTAGGTGTTGAATACACAAATACTGACTTAACAGAAAATTATGTAAGTACCGCTTGCAATGCTTCAGAGATTTTACTAGGAGATCTGTAATGCAGAATTTTATTGTGAATCTGAGGAAACATTTAACAGCTTTGAAGGACTTCAGTTTTCATAGCCCTTTAGAGATGTTTAGGCAGAAAAGCAGCCACACATTACAGTTAATAGGAAAAAAATAAAAACATTCTAAGGAAGGGGTCTTGCTGCTTGGCCATCCTCACATGCCTTGCAGTTACAGCTGCAGCGTTTGGCATGGGGAATATCTGTAAATATTTCTTTATCTAAATATTAGTATTTCTCTTACAGCCAGTTTGCATTACTGTAAGAGAGAACGTACAACACTTTCCTTGCTGCTGCTACCCCATCATACAGAGGTGGTGCTGGCACTGGGGGATGACCTCTGTTTTAGCCTCTGGACCATCTTTTAGACAGGGCACCAGGACCTCTGAAAGACTCCTTATGATACAAACTTACTCCTCAAAAGTGTATTTCTCTGATAAAGCTGTGCTATTCCCTGTCTGTGGTTGTTTTGTTTGTTTGTTGTTTCTTTTGGGGGGGATGATGGTTTTAATATGAAATAAAATTAGCATAAAATTTACCTCAAACTAAGGGCAGATTTTAGTTTTGCTTACAGTTTATTTTAATATGGATAATGTCCTGTTTTCTTAGTAAGGTAGACTAGAATTACAACTCCAAAGAAAAATTCAATTCTTAACAAAAAAATAAAAATTAAAAACTAGCATATTTTATAGAGTGGTGACATCGTGCAAATTTATATATTCATGGTGATTTACAAACACAAAATTATGATTTTTGTGTGCAACATGACTTTGTGCTGGGTGATATTAGTAACAGCAAGTTATTCAGCAAAGTCTTATGGAATGTAGATGGTCAATTACAACACAGACTGGCAAGTTTTGTTCCCAGCTTTTATATGTTACTTCAACTCCACCTCTTTCATCAGTTTCTGAATCTCCAAAACGACCTGGGATGCAGCCCTTTGGCAAAACCACACATATCCTTGCATGGCAGAGTTTTGTGACTTGAGAATTCTCTTTCTTCCTAGCTTGGTTAATTAAAAAATTAAAAATCAATGCATAAATAAGCAAGTAAATAAATAAATACATATGTGAGTTGGGGAATGAAAGCAGATCCAACCAAAGTTTGGGGGAAAAGAGGTAAAAATAAGATGACTCATTGGCCTCCATGTAAGGGAGGGTATGCCAAATTTGAGTTTCAGCTACAGACATTCAGCTTGATACACCACAACAGGATTTCCTGTACCTGACAGGATCCAGCCCAGCATGTTTTGTTATTCAGAGATATTTATAAAGTCAAATGGAGTTTCAGAAAAACTTTAAGAAGCTATCAGTAGTGATGTCACATTTTCTTTAAAAAATTTGGGGCTGTAGAGAAACTACAAAGCAGCTAAATTTGCAAGAAACTACAGGAGCTACAGCTTTTATAAGGATACAGTGAGGAAAATTATCAGTTCTGTGGGGTTTCATTCAGTATCTCTAATCCTCCTGCTTCACCCCTCAGGTATGATTGGGAAGTTTTCCAAGTTGCCACTTCTGCATTTTAATCAGAATTTCCAACTAATAATTTCATTTTAACAAATGAATTCAAGTTTTAAGAGAAGCTAAAATCAGTATTTTATTACAGAATATCCTTGTTTATTTTTGTCAGAATTCACAGTCCTGGCAAGATTTTTGTTCCACAGAGTATAGCTGAATTGAAATTAAAAATAGATTAAATAAATGCTTACATGTGCATGAGTTGCAAACATATGACATTTTAATGTTAAATACTCAAGGAAATTAACAGAAGTATTATGTATTTTTTTTTGTGAGGATGTACTACTTTTTAAATGAGTGATATTCATTATGGTAAAGTAAAATAATCTTAACTCCAGAGTGCGATTACTGTTCTGGATTGCTTTTTTATTAATTATCTAACTGTTGTATTTAACCAGGAATTAATGCAAACTTTATTCTGGTACTCTTTGGAAATCGGAATGTCTTTTTTAGATTGGTTTATTAGAGCTATATCTTGCAGTCATATTCTGGAGAATTAAAAGAGGTGAGTGGGTTTTGGAAGCTAGTTTTGCATTTATCACTTCCACAGAAAGAAAACTGTAAAAATATCAGCTCAAAGTCCAGAAACAAAGACTTCATTCTTTGACAGACATATAAGGTTGCTGTTAGTGGACTTCATAGAGCTCTTTCTTATATAATCTAACTATAATTCACTATATATGGAAAAAAAGAAGAAAAAAAAAGGCAAAAAAAAAACCCAAAAACCCTCAACAAACCAAAACTAATAAACCAAACCAATTAAAACACCAAGTATTTGGGCATGTAATAGATTTACCTTTGTGTATCATTTTTTAATGCAAAGGACTTAGGAATTCTAAGTTCTTTCATTTTTCTCTCACTTTTTTTGCTTTACCTGCATGAGGTGACATGACTGAGATAAGTCATATGCATGACCAGATGCCTTTGGAGAAAACAGATCATATAAAACAAAGAATATATAACAAATAAGAAATTTGAAAATTGCACTGAAGACCCCAGTGTTTACTTGTTATAATACATATATATGTATGTAAATTGGCCCCATGATGCTACATATATATATGTGTATATGTGTATATATATGTGTGTATATATATATATATATGTATGTATGTATGTATGTATACATGTGTAAATATCTTTGTACAAATCCAGAGAATGAGAGAGAGAGGGATGGAGGACACTGTCACCAAAGTTCCTGGGCCCCATCAATGCCACACGAGCGAGTATTGTTACTGTGACAAAATCCTGCATGACCTGTGCATTTGCTGATCTCCAGCCTATCTGAATTTCCTAGAAATTCACAGCTGATTGTCTCAGGAAATTCTCCTGGGACAAATTCATGGTTGTCTGATGTTTGCATCTGCCTAAAAACTTGCTGAGTTCAATGCGATCCCACACATGAAAATCTGACTGCAAGATCAGGGCCTAAAGTTTTGGTAGTCGCCCTTTGGCCAAGCCAAAACTAACTAACAAACTTGGGGAAAAAGGTGGTAGAATTCTGTGATAGCACTGGACTTGGAAGATGCCAGCAGAATTAATGGGCAACTCATTCTCATTGAACTCAAACTCCTCGTACCGATGTTCTTGCTTTATACACCTGATTTGACCAACACCAATAAAAAGGGTCTAAAACCAGGAGAAGATACTATAAAATTGCATATCAAAGGGCAATTGACTAGCAGCAGATACTATAAAATTATATATCAAAGGAAAGCCGTAATATCCTGTCAGCAAGTATGAGCATAGGAATCCATTGTGTTCACAGTCCTGTAGGGTTAAGGAGCAGAATTGCTTTACTCTGGGATATTTTTACTCAATCTCCTTAGATACAAGAAAAGCAAAACTCAAAGTTAGATTTTTTTTTTTAAAGAGAAAAGTTAATCATAGGCTTACTGATGAAGTTCACTGAAGTAAAAGAATGTTAAAAAAATTAATGCCATTGCTTAGCCCTTCATTTGATAATGTTTCAGGCTTACAGAAAGTTGCATTTCTTGCTCACAAAAAAGCAAAGCAGGGGCTTTCTTAGCTTTAAGGATGTATTCTCTACTATAAGAAGGTATTCTTCCTATAATTATTGTTTTAAATAAAAATTTAATAAAAAAATCTAAGTAGCTGATCAAATGTCTGAGTGTAAACTGAAAATAAGCTTTGAACCAAAGCTAAAAAAACAGAGACAACAAGCTGGCATTAACTTTGTCTAGGAGTAGAGGCAGAATGAAAACTTAGCCCAGGAGCTACTGAGAAATTTAATATTTCCTGAGTGGGGGGAGAAGGAAGTTTGGAAACTGTAGGAAAAAATGAACCAGAAAATCATGTTATTTGTAACCTATACACACCACTGGGATTTCCACTACTGGGATGACCTTCTCAGAAAAAAAGCTACACCTAGGTAAACTGCTTCTAAGAAGTACATTTTGACAGATATTCCAAGAACAGAAGTCCTGGCAATGCACACCTTGAAAGATTTTCTGAACAAAAATGCATAATGGCCTCCCATGTAACTGGGAATATAAATGTGTCAAAATGTTACTTATTATATTAAAAATAAAATAGAAAATGTGTATTAGTCAACTATTTATCAGCCTTTTCTTATCAAAGGCTGAAAGAATATTTTTGTCTCCAAAATAAGGGTTAGATGGAAGAAATTACTGGTGAATGTCTAATGGATGTTATATAGACCAGAAATGGATTACAGATTAATAGAAGCATCTTCTCCTTCATTAAGTGTTCTTTACCCGATGGGGGTGGAGAAGGTTAGGTTATAGCAGCATTATGTCCTCACAATAAAAATACATTTAATCTCCTAGTGTCTACTGCAATTGGTAATTCATTGTATATAATTTTCTTTATTTTTGAAATCCTTTCCATCTACCAGCTGTCTGACAAAAACAAGCATGAAACATTCTGAAAATAAACTTTTGAGATTATTTGCATTCAATGGGAAAATTCCACTACTGAAAGAGCATTCATTAAATTTTTCTAGTGATGGACAAATCTCAGAAGGTTCAGACTATTGTTTCAAACTTGTATAACAATATCAATGTTTGTCTACAGTGTTTCAAAAGACTGTCTCTGTCCTCATTTTATCTAGGAACCTCCAAATAATCAGAATTTTAGTTGTTCATTAATGATGTCTAGTTTTACTTCTGTCCCCTCCTGAGGTTCCTTTACTTTATCAAGCAGAGCAATATTTCCTCATGGGTGACAGACTACATTTCAGAGGAAATTAATTCCTTTTCCAATATATGTTTCTTTCAGAAGTAACCCACAAAATCTTGATGCAGAGGGCAACTACAGGAGGTACTAAGAAACATTTTCTTCCATAGGTTTCATTGGTGGGTTGGTTGGTTGGTTTTTTTTTCTTCTCTGTCCCCTGAATAAAAATTTGCCTAGGTGTAGGTAATAAAAGGTGATTTTTGCACCTTG